TTTTTTTTTCTCAAAGTACTCTATTGATGTTGCGTACATTTTATATTATATAAAACTAATGATAATGATAATTTGACATCTATTGATAAAATACAAGTTTTGTGGTTTCCTAATGTAACTAAACTTCAACCTGAAATATTGAAAAGAGTAACATTTACTTAATAACGAATTCATCCTACTCTTGTACTAATCTGATAATGAGTTCGTTGCACCAACATTACAAGAGAATCGCAAACCAATAAATCAAATCAAATGTTGTGTTCGGCACAAAACGTATAGGCACTAATACATGCCATATGCGAGACTGGAGAAACGAAATTTCGATTGATAACAAAGTATGTGAATTTGAAACATAAAACGACATTCAATCAAATTTAGATAGGAGCAACATTTTCATAAAAGTCAAATTTGTTACGATGCACCGTTCCAAACTGCCCAATCAATTTTGACAAATAAACTGAAATGTCTGCCACTGTAAACCAGGTCGCAGTTCACCCTTCTCCACGCACACGCGCACGCACACTGGCGGCTGAAGCATCCTTATACCTGTCTAATTGCGGCCCACTGGGTCGAGTTTCACTCGAGATCGCATTTTTTTTCCCCCGTAATTTTCATTTCATACAGACCTAATGCAATTAGAGTGCTATGAAATCTGTTGCAAGGTGAAGTGAGGATAATATTTGACGTTTTGGACCCTCTTGTGATAAAGCAAACTCGCTGCTGTCATCGATTTTGATGGAGGACGGACTTGGGATGGGCAGAGCACTTTTTAAGGCAGGTTGACGGATATCATCTTTCACGTTAATCCGTCAGAGTTTTGACGGGAACAGAAGCTGAGTTGGTTTTGATGATTATGCTCGATGAATGTAAATGTCATCTGGCAAAGAAACTGTGGTACGTCCTTTCTTTATTTAAGACCTTCCGGGATCTTCTCGACCATGGTCACTTTAAAGGGAATGTCCAAATATTCGAAGAGGAAACAAGTATACTTGTTTTAAATTTTGACTTGTGAAATATATAATATTATAAAAGATTTTGAATTTTGTAAACAAGCTTACTGTCTCTCGTTCCTACTTACAGAGTATAGTCGTCGGACTTTTTTTTAGCATGCGTCCAGAGATACCTCATAATCATATGTAAAGGAAATTATGTCCCTACGATCATTTTTGCCGGGTCATTTTTAATTAAAGAAGAAAATGTTCCTATACTGTATAATACAGTATAGTTTTAAAAAAACGATGAAAATGTTATTTGCAATCTTACAAATCACGATAGAGTATATTTTACTTTTAGTATGCTTAGTTGAATATTTTTCTTTGAAAATATCTAAAACTTCACATTTCTTTCTACACACCTTGCATCAAACTCGTTTTGAAAAGTGAACTACCATAGCCTTAATATTCTCAATCAATCTCCAGCCCTCTCTCTATTTCTATCTCTCTCTCTCTCTCTTTATTTGAGGATTGGGGATGCTCTCCTATCTCAATGAATCACTCACCCAGATTTGCATGTCTGCTTAGATGTCCTGAAAAGGTGTTCATGGTCCCTTGGTAACGCTTGTGGATACACATGACCTTTTCTCCACCTGTTTGTGTAGGTGGTGTCATTTGTAGTTTCGCTTATTTAAGCACCGTCCAGCTGGTTCCTCCAATCTAATAACGAAAAGGGAGAGAGAAGGATGGTAACGGAGAAAGAAGCAAATCCAAGAGGAGGGAGACATCTACCCCCCTCCCCCAACCCCTCCTTGCATTTTGGGGCCTTGACCGTTTGCATCGATCATCCACCAAAGAAGTCCAATCCCGGCACCCCCGCGCCCATGACGATGTACCTCAATGTCTGAACCCTCAGTACGCCACAAGAAGATGGTGTCGAGGGAAGTCTGAGAGGTGTGTTATGGGTCTATAGACCCTCGTAATCTCGCTATCGCAACATCTAAAGCGCCATTTAGGGGATTAAGGTTATGAATGCATGGTGCGGTGGAAAACAAATTTGGTAAAGGGAATGGATCCCCGATTCATATTTTCTTGGATACACCTACGTCAAAGAACGTTATAGTATGATGCAGTCGCATTATAGTTCGCTTCGAAACGTCTTTGTGTTCTAGAAAGTGATGTTCAGCATTGCCTTTTTAGATGGCATCGAAGGAAAATAAGCATTCTCGCCCGACTTTCTGTAACTGATATTTCAGGAGTGCAGCTCATTTTCGGCGTGCTTTGATCTGTTCAGGTGAAAATCATAAAATACGTATCCGGACACCTACCCCCTGTACATCCACCCCCTCCCCCCCCCCCCCGATAACCATCTCCAGTCAACTACCCCCTAGTAAAACTACCCTAGGGGGTAGTTGACTGTGGGTGGTTATCCGGGGGTGGATGCCCAGGCGGTAGACGTCCTAGAACCCATAAAATACACTAGAATAAATATAGCTTGAAAATATGTATTTCGGCAAACTATGATTGTTGTCCTGATTGTTAGACCTGGACCCGTTTCACAAAGCCCTTTTTTCAATGACGAATGACAAAAATCAGTGACAAATCTGTTGATGGCCAATCAGAATCTGATTTCAGTAGCTAATTATAACAAACACTGTCATTTTTTTCACTGATAACAAGTTTTGTGATGAAAAATACGCATTTTTGCAAAATTCTTCCTGCGTCCACCGTGGTTTTTACACGCCCTTGATAAATATTCCACAGGTAGATAGAGTTACATTTATTGAAATCTTTCTCCCCGTATCATGGGATCTGTTTTTACATACTGTTTATCAACTTGATCAAGTAGGTCACCGCTGACCGAGAGTGCATGTAGACAACGCGCAAAATGATATGGGCGGAGTAATGATGCACCTACGAATTTGTACCCTATAATGAAAAAAACATGGTAAAAATGGCACATAGCCCCCAGCGAAATAGAAATTGCTTTCTGGTGTATAGTTTGATCGGAAGCCTACACGGAGAAGAGGCAGAACCCGATACCCAGCCTTCTTTTTAATATTTAGTATCTTCCGGATCCTTTACTTGCTGATTTGTGATATTGGATTGCCCAGGGCTTTGGGGTGTTTGACGTGGCGTTGACGATGCGTCGTTGATTTAGCTTCTCTTCTCATCCTCCCTTTGTTCTTTTCTTTCGACTTTTCTGTTTGCCTTTTCTGTTTTTCCCAGCTTTTTATATAGAGCGACATATTTTTTTGCGTCCTGTTGCACAGACTCTATATTAATTTTGCCTACTCACTCCTCCCTCTTCGCCATATGATTTTTTTTCTTTGCCTTTCCTTATTTTGCACATTTATTTTACATTTTTTACATTATCTGTTTTGGGCCTATCCAACTTGTGGGTAATTTAAAAAGAAATGCATTTTTTTATTTTCTATGCTTTTCCTTATTTTGCACTATATATTCCATTTTCTACATTCTCTGTTTAGCTCCTATAACTTGTGGGTAATTTAGAAATAAAATGCTGCAGTATCTAGATACTATGAACGCTTGAACTTATAATTTAGAAAACATTGCTTAAAGGCACACTGTCCTACTTGTAGCTACTTGCTCCCTCTATATAGAAAACTTCACCAATCGGTGCCTGTTGGTCCCCCATGATCCTCTTTTTCTTATGTTAAATGAGAGCTGAGTTAATGAGATAGCCACCTGTCACAGTGACCTCGCTGGCTCGCTGGGTGGTCTAATCCCTTCTTGCTGAAGTAGTAAAGCCTAAAAATCAAATTACATTGTTCAATTTGCATGCTGCCATTCTTGCTCGTCATGTCGGGAAACGTTTTGCACAGACTATTCTTTACTCTTGAAAATTTTCCCGCTTGTTTCAATGAACAGAGATAAAAGGGACAAGAAAAGGACGTAGTGATTGGATTAAAAAGTCTGCCACCAAAGGAGCCGCCGATTTATTATGCTCAGTCTGGCGATTGTCGCCTGCAGGCATATTCGCACCCTTACCTATTCTATTCGTCTCCTTCTTTTAATCGCTGGCGTATACAACGCTAACAATCTTGCTATTAATACCGATATTATTCATAAATAGGTCGGCGGGTATGGAGGTCAAGCATGGTTTGATGTTGTGCTATGCCTTAAACTTCCTTTGATAGCTTGAACTGATTTTGATTACCAACATTCGACGCACTAGGTCAACTTTTTAGACTATCATGACTATCTCTTCATTCTGTGCTATACTCTCAATCTTCCTTTTAAAGCTTGAATTAAGTGACAAAAGTACGAAATATTTCTTCTTTATCTAAAATAGCAGAATATGATCTATGGATATCAACATTAATGAAATGTTTTGAATTTTATCAAGATTCAAAAGGTAATAGTCTACGGAAATTTTGAAAACGTGAAGCGGCTTGATGAATTGACAGTTTAAACAATTAACTTAATGAAAATAATATGCTATTCATGATATTAGTCTGCCATCGACTAGCTGTACCAATAACGGAGAACAAATACAATTTCGTGAGACCCAATTTTAATCTCAGTGCCTTTTCATATTTGTGAAATTGTTAATTTTGACCTGTTACTTTTATGAGTTATCATAAATTAAAGGATAAAAACAATATCGTCATTCATGTATTAGTCTGAAATTTAAATCTGGAATTTAAGCCTGGATTTGAGCTTTCCTTTATCGTTTAGATATATAGACGCCTTAGTAGATAAAGTATCAAAAATCGTTACGATTTTAACCATCTATGGTATTGTAAAGGTTGTAATTCTCCCCCAAACCCCCACCCCACCCTCCCCCTCCTGCCTTCCGAAAAACAGTAGGATATAAAAAGATAATTATAGGAAGTGGTTAGGGTATTATTCACCGATATCGTTCAGAAAAGGCAAACCTGGTGATCCGTTTCAGATGGGAGACATTTAGAGGTGTTCGACAAACTAGTGTCAAAGGTTGTGTTACCTCGTCCAAGACACTCCCGTTTTACATATTCGATCATTCAACTTACCTTAACTTGCATAACCTGATTGATCACCTGCACGATTGCTTGTCCTTTGCAGATTCACAAGTCCAGTGTCGATGTATTCATCGCCCCCTGTCTGAGAGAACGTTACTGTGAAGCGTCAAACCACACTCGAGCGAGTCCGGTCGAGCAGCGGCGGACGTCCCCGTGGGAATTCAGATCGGAGTGTCCAACCTACTTCCAGGAATTCACAGGGGGCTGCCGAATGCACTGCATGTATCTCTTTTGAGAAGGAAGCGAGAAGGGGTTATTAAGTCGTGCGAACGAACTTCTCCTTATGTTGGAAACATATATTCACATCTCCTGAAGATAAGGATTGTGTGTAGCGAGCCAGAGGCACTTACCTTTACCCTCTACATCTGATTTCAACAACTCAAGCAGCTCGTTTGGTGTGAATGAGAAGGAGATATAAATCTTTTGTTCCAAATTCTTCAATCTACATCACCGATGAGTGAAGTGCGCAAGGGATAATCTGATTTTCGAAGGGCTGCTAAGATCACAAAGCGGAATGAAATTAAATCGACGTACAGCTTCTTTCATGCTTAAAAGATCTTCTGTCTTTCCAATCGGTTAGGAAATATTTAATATCTAATCTTACACATTATTGAAGTTCAACAATCCACAGACTTATTGTTGACCATTGCACTTCAAGTATCTGAAATTTGAAAATTCAATCTACAGCCATGGCGGGAGTCACGGTTGGTGTAGTTCCTACCGTGGTCACAGAAGTGAACGTTTATCAAACAGAATTTTTCGACGTAACTCCAAACATGTCGCTTGCATCACCAAATGCCACTAGAGATTTACCCGAACTGGAATTCTACAACCTCGATTACAAGATCATAGCGACGATATTCTACCTGCTCTTGGGTGCCGCGGCCATCATCGGTAACGCGATGGTGATCATCGTCGTTCTCAGAGTGGCTCACATGCGAACTCCGACGAACTGTTACCTGGTGAGTCTGGCAGTGGCCGACTCTATGGTCGGAGCAATAACCATCATGATGCATTCCGTACCGGAGAACCTGCTGCCGAAGAACGCGTTCATCTACGGCGCCGCCGGCTGCTACTCCATCATTGCTCTCGAGTATCTGGCCTTCAACGTATCCGCGCTGTCCATTACCGCTTTCACAATCGAACGCTACATCGCCATATGTCACCCCATGAAGGCCCACATCATGTGCTCCGTGTCGAGGGCCACCAAAATCATAATCACTCTCTGGGTCTTCGAAATCATCTACTGCTCACAGTGGTGCTTCTTGCTCGAGTACAGCGAGGAAGAGTATGCAGGTGGACATGCCTTTGGACGTTGCTGGTATCGTATGGACAAAGTGGCCTACATCAATGCGGTCTATTTAGTGGACTGTTTCTTATATTACATTGTTCCGGTTGGTGTCTCTATTCCTCTTTATGCTATCATCGGACGGGTTCTCTTCCGAAGTACCATGTCACAAAATGGCATTAGGAGAGGTTACGAGGTCGGTTCGAAGGGGAAGGAAAATGGGAACACGACGCGGTTGCGACTCATGAAGTCGAGCGAAGGCAGTGACGGAAGTAACTCACCAAGACGGTGCAAAGATTCAGGAAGCACAGCTGTATCATCGAGAAAACAGGTACCTCTATAATTTATACATACTCATTAACGTACTCTAGAAATGCATCGGTCTGGAGATGAAAATCAATTTTGGGGCAGTCATTTTTTTAAGGGTTACTACATGTATGTTTAGAGTGGAATCCATGCTCAAAATAATGTAATCCAATCTCAAAACAATAACAACCATTTCTTTGGAGGTGATGACACCTTAATTCGAGTGTATTTACTCCAAATAAAGTGATCCACAATATAATTATTTACGAGTAGTAGTAGAAAGGGAACAGGATAGGATTTACAAGGAAGAAGGAGACAAAATGTAAAGAAAGGAGGAGGGGAGAGAAAGAACGAGAGAGAGAGCATCCTAAGTTCACAAGAGTTCAAGCAAGTTTTTGTTTTGTTTTTGTTTATGTTTTCCCCCTCTATGTTAGGCATTAGTTGTTGTTGTGATTTTTTTTTAATATATATTTTTCTTTAATCACCTTCTCATACAACAATATAATACTGTATTATACTGTATTTCTGTTTAGGTGGCAGCACCAATAAAGCCTTTGGCTTTCTTAGCTGTCTCCACATTCATACATATTTTTGTTGTTGTTTTCTATTGTAAATGTTTCTTTTTAACATGTACGCTATGTTTTGTATTTTTATATGTTTGTTATGATGTTTTTAAGACGAATGAAATAAAGATCAATTCAAGTACATTTCGACAAAAGGGTAGTACGCAGCTGTAACAATGAATGACTGTCAGGCTTATCACGAGAAGCCTGTTGAAATTTATAAAGGGAGAAACCTGTTGAAGGTGTGTGCATGGTTTCTTTTGAGATATACATCTGAATACATTCTTTAGGGCTGTCAAGCCCTGCATCCACAAATAAACTACGAGTACTAGTGAAGAAGCTAAGTACAAGACCTATATGAATCAGAATTTCGTAACTAAAGTTCAATGTTGAAACTAACAATTGTTGTCTTTGGATTATCCCTCTTCTATTTGGCCTTGTATATATATATATGACAAAAATCATCTTCAATAATAGTTTTATTTCCATCCCTTGCTTTCAATGCTCCTATCCAAGTACCATGCAATTCCCTCCTATGGGCTATTTGTCCTATTCTCAAAATTTAATAGGATTTAAATTTTATTTTACTTGTTAACTGAGAATAAATATATGCCAGTGCCTTAACATTCATAATCATATATTTTATCCCTTTCAATTTTAATTCCAGGTAATAAAGATGCTGGTAATAGTGGTAGCCCTCTTTGGTATCCTTTGGGCACCTTATCGGATGCTTGTCGTCTTCAACTGGTTCAACACACCATCCAAGCAGTACCACAACGAGTGGTTCCTCTTCTTCTGTCGCGCCTGCCTCTATCTGAACAGTGTGGTCAACCCGATCCTCTACAACTTCATGTCCATCAAGTTCCGACGGGCCTTCATCAAACTCTGCTCCTGCCGCGGTAAGAACAACAGGGCGGCGCTAATTGGCCGCAGTAGCATTGCAGGCAGCTTTACCGGCACACGCCGCACCAGCACTGCATGTACCGCGGTCACCTCCAACGCCAACACCTTTTCCTGCTAACCGCTTCATCCATTTCATGAGTAGGACAGAACTAGTGAACTATCGCTTTCTCTATATCCTCCTCATCGCCATAATACTCCTGCTTGACAATACTTTATATCAATACGGTTGAAACAACTATTGACTATTCCTGTATAGTGCTTCGACTCACATCATTTATTATTTTGAATGCTTTTTTGTTTCTTTCGTGGTGTGCTTTAGCGGTTAGAATGATTTGATCTAATATGGACGAACTAGAATAACAAACAATAATCATCTTATATCATCTGCCTGCTCGTCCTTTACTTGTGCATATATACAACATAATGTTTTGAGCTAACATTTCATTTTATATATGCATGTGTCCTCAAATTGAATGTCAAACTTCGTAAAGAATGTCGCGGGGAAGTTCGGGAGCGTGGCGGCACGAACGTCTCGCTCGGATTTCTAGTCGCAGCTGCACGCCTGTTAAACCAAGACGCTTTATTAACACCACTCGGCGGGGATAATGATTTGCTCTAAGCCACCAACCGTGTTTACTACAGGTGGACTAACAATAAATTCGTCAAAATGACGAATAAAGCAGAAGAAAATCTCTCTACACAGTGAACCTCTCTTGAGAAGAAAAATCGGAGGGAAAACGACCAACCAATCCCATTTCTTCCAACTTGTTGATAACCGACCAAATGCTGTGTTAAAAGGTAATGATTGTTTCGGTGTTATTGATAAATGTGTCATGGTCCGATTTAGAGAAATGCTGTCTGAAAATGCAAATTCACCCAAAAATGATATTTTGATAACAAATAAACGTAGGGAGTGAATCAGACGGTAAATGCATGAAATGGGTATAGCATGAATTATTTAAATCGAACCGCTAAGTAGCTCCTCGCACTTGTCTAACATTCCAGTCCGCTACATAGGAATTGCCAAGATACTGCCTTTCTACTGGGCACAAGATTCTTGGAGGAATGTTCGCTCTTTAATATATGCCTCATGTTACGCTTCTAGGCTTGTGATTGGTCAACATTAGCTATTGACCGTTACGTCACAAATATGGGGCAATAGGGAAATATATTGTCCGGGCCATCGTCATATTTGATCGAAGAACTCATGGCTGCAATAAATACGCACAGCGTTAGCATAATGTACGCACGAGAAAACACACACTACGTAAACTTTTTTATTTGTAAATACTTCTTATTTTGGATAGTTGCACAGAATGCGATATTTAAAAAAGGTAGTGCTAGTATTTCACCATTAAACCTTTAAAAAGTCGTTAACATGTTATGCTCTCAACTCTGTTTGGGCGGCATTGGTAAGTTTCAAGATGATGACTTTGGGCCATTATCGTAACCATGCCTCTCAAAACAGTATTTATTGTATATTTTCCCATGCACATAACAGTATGAAATATCTATCCCTGTTGTAAATTGTATTATACACATTGTATGCACTTTTAAAAGATCAAAGTGTATGATATCATCGCGCGATACTACTATAAAAACATATGCTACGCTTAAAACTTTTAATGAATCTATGAAATATCAATAACAATAAACTTATTGAATACCATTTATCTGTTCATAAATGTGGGAAATTACATATATTAAGCATTCGTGTAGATTTGCATTATGTGAATTTTTATACTATTTTCATATTCTATATGAATGATAGACACCTTTCAACGTTTCACAATTAAAGCACCTAATACTGTTTCTGGCTCCTGTACATAATATATTTTCCTAGATTCCGTATCACCTCCTACTTTGTATTTGGATGTTTTCCTCTAAAGGATGAAATAAGAAAAGTACACAATCAGAAATTGAATGAATATATAGCACTGAAATAACTATTTACATATGCGGTATCCATTACTTTTTTTGGTAAATAATTGTAAATAAATAGGTGTGTGGTTTTCATAGCAGTGAATTTATAAATAATAACTTATTACAAAGAGGAAATGTGCACGCTTTTTAGCATGGCAGATTTCATTTTTTCGAGAGTTATTTATGTCAATTCCATGATTTGAAGAGCCTCTTCATAATGTTTTGGAATATATTAATTTGATCAAGTTCAAATGAATAAAGCTATGTTATCATATGTTGCTTACCATAATACATAGTGTAAGTTATGTGGCAAAGGAGATTTTCATCTTTCTCAAATACACCTAACAAAAAACTTATATTGAGTAGACACAAATTTAATGAGATTTGTATAGTTTGAACTTTACTTCGTCCTATATGCTGTGCGTATATGTGCAGATGCCAGTAAGATATAAGGACCTTTTTTAATCTACTTCCATATAGTATTTGTAAAATTTAAATTTGGCATGGAATACTTTTCGTGAAGTAAATTCATTTCGAAAGTTTTGGGGTATCCGAAAAGCAAGAGGTTCTAGTGTTTTATGATGCGGTAATGCACATTTCCTGCTTTGTGGGTGTGTTTATAGTCTGAATTTATTCTCATACCAGTGGTCGCACATAATGGCAACAAGTTTTTAAATAAAATACTGCCCTAGGGCAACTGCGTGTATAATCTGCAAACTACTATAATGGATTTCCTGTTATTTTAAGGTTTTTTAAAGGCTACGTGTCTGTTTTTTTTTTCATGAAAAAAATATTATTATTTGAATATACATTGTTAATGTCTTTGGGTGAGTGAATGTGGAATAAATATATGTATGATTCTTTAATATATGATTTCATCGCATGCTTGAATTGTTAATTGTGCACTTTTTTTTATGAACTAATTTAATCTTCTCTCTCTAAACCCTCTGAAAAAGAATGCATGAGCACTTCCCGAATCTACTTTCCTCCCTAAACTATTAATTCCCAGAGTGTCGTTACATTGTGTGTTTTTTTCTCCTAATAATTCTGGTTGAATCGGAAGTCCCCACACATCAAATTCATTTCCATAAACACGAAAATAAGTGATGTTAAAAAAGTGTACGTCATCGGCTATAAATCGTCAGTTTTGTCACAGCCCACGAAGCCGATATTTCAGTCTCGCGGGCCAACTATTAACTCTTTTAAGGGTTTAATAGACCGACATTCCACGTAAACGACAGGCAGTCTTATTGGGATTTTAACCACTTCCCACGAGGTTCGCGAGACCGATATTTGTTTATCTTACCTCACATATATCTTTCTTTAGTCGGCCTCTAAGGCTGTGGGCTGTCGGTCTCTTAGACCTTTGGAAAATACTTCTATTTCTTTATTGTAACGGTCTTGTGGGCGGTCAGTATCGTGAACCTGTTGTAAATGTTGGTCACGTGGTTTGTTGTTTTACTAATATGGCGTTCGTTAGTTAATGGTCTCTCCAAAATATCTACTTAATATAGGGTTATTATCACCTTGGAGAAGGTATATTTAAATCATTAAGCTAAGTCATAAAGAGGGTGATGTTCTGACTGCAGTGTTGGACTTGAGCTTCTCAAATAATGTTGATTGACGCATTAAGGCTGTATATGAGACGTCCTTCAGTAAACTGGCTTTTAATTTGATGGAAAATATATTAAATCTATATTTTGTATGGCGTCCTTTTTATGATGACTCTGATTTGAAGGGTAAATATATAATCTTTTTGAGAATGATACACTGATCTATAATTCTTATACATACATGTAGACTACATGCTGTTCGCTGGCAGGCAGGAGTCTTGAATTTGTCTTTCACGTTAATCCGTTTTTCTTTAAATAAAGCTTCATGGCGGAGCCCATCCTCTCTATAGATTGGACATGTCAATTAAATGGCACAAAACCGCTGACACTGACACAATATAATTGTGTACAATAAAGATGTTAATCCTGTCTATGGGAATTGACGTAGAAAGAAATCCATAATAGAACAAGATAGAAAGATGATTAAGATATAAACATATCTCGACATTTACGATAGTAATTGGGATATTTTCCGGAAGAAATAAACGTATATCATTTTCATGTTATATGGGACAACGGGCCTGCCTACAAAATAATTCTTTTCATTTTCCTTCCAGTATTTCTGCAAAACTACATGTTTTAAATTATTCCAAAGCCTGCACAAGATCAGGATTTGTTTCTGCGTGTCTTTTTTCAGAGTTAATTACTCAAAGATTCATCATAAAAAGCACTCCTCCCTTTGACGATTTGCCACTAGCCATTTCATATTACATGAATCCTAGAAATAAATGTAATGGATAAGACTGTGATACTTTTTATTCATTCATTTTAACTTTTTTAGGAGAACGATACCTCACAGCGTACATCCATTTTACAAGTTCTATAGAAGACACGACTGTTAACAAAATTAAAGAATTTTGTGAATAATATCCAAGAAAAGTATTCAGATCGTGTGCAATTTAATTTTAACAAGAATGGATGACAAGAACTCAAACGTATGGACAAATTATTCTTACTCCGATCATGAGCTCGTGTTCACATTGTACTCATTGTGTTAATTGAGACACAGTGTGGTGGGCGTTCACAGTGTGGTGGCCGTTTCACAGTGTGGAGTGTTCACAATGTTAAATTCACACTCATTCATGTGCTCCATAATGTTAAATTGAGGCGTTTTCACATTGTTACCCACACTGTGAATTTGTGGTTGTCCACACTGTGAACCGCATTCTGAAACGACGCGACCACAATGTGAAAACGCCCCGATTTAACATTGTGGAGCACACTGTGATTCACAATGTGAAATACAGTGTGATTCAAACTGTGTTCCACACTGTGGATGAGTGTGAATGAGTGTGTTCTTTCCAGCAGTTAGAGGACGAAATAGTTGAGCGGTTCACTGACTTTTTATAAATAAAACCAGCAGAAATACAAAGATTAATTGCATATCTTTAGAATTGTTTCACTTTTCCATTGCGCGATAATAAAAAAAGGGATGTCAGGAACTCGAGGATGCCGCATTT